AGAATGCACCATTTTGTTTCTCTCGGCTAATGGATCACGTTCTCAAAGACATGCAGGAATACGCATTGCCATACTTGGATGACATTGCGATTTTTTCTGGTAGCTGGGAGGACCACATCTCGCATCTGCGACAAGTGTTAACGCGCTTGAAGATTTCGGGGCTGACCGTAAAGGCAGAGAAATGTCAGTTGGGAAGAGGAGAGGTCAGCTACCTCGGCCACAAGGTTGGTCAAGGTTACCGGCGTCCGCTAGAGGTTAAAATCGCAGCAATAGCTGGTTACCCCAGACCTACCAGGTTAAAATCGCAGCAATAGCTGGTTACCCCAGACCTACCAGTAAAACTGACATTCGATCCTTTCTTGGATTGGTTGGGTACTACCAGCATTACATTGCCAACTTTTCAGAGGTTGCTAGTTCACTCACAGATAGCTTGAAAAAGAACGAACCTATGAAAGTGCAGTGGAGTGAAGAGAAGGAACGCTCATTTGCTGCTCTGAAATCTGCTCTGTCCAGTTGGCCTGTGTTGAGGGCGCCTGATTTTGACCGCCCGTTTGTACTACAGTGCGATGCTAGTGATCGGGGAATGGGAGCTGTGCTCAGTCAAAACGACGCTGAAGGGAACGAACAGCCCGTGGTATTTGTCAGTAGAAAACTCGCGATTCGTGAGCAGGCGTACAGTGCGTCGGAAAAAGAGTGTGCGTGCCTCGTATGGGCAATACAGAAACTGCGATGCTATCTGGCTGGATCCCATTTCGTGGTCCAGACATATCATTGTCCTTTAACATGGCTGCATAGTATGTCGTCGAAAAATGGAAGGCTTTTGCGTTAGAGTTTAGCGTTGCAGGAGCATAGCTTTGAGCTCAAGTACCGCAAAGGCAGAGACAACGGTAACGCCGATGGCCTGAGCCGAGGTTTTCCGTAGCTGAATAGCTAAAGGAAACGCGGAACTGTACAATTCTTTTGAGTCCTTTGTCTGACGCAAGCGCTACTATTTAGCCTTGTGTGTGTGTGCGCGCGTTTTTATTTCTTTGTTCGAGTTCACTTGGTCACCACCATAGTGTAGTCTTCTGTTGTGCAATAAATTACGAGCCTTGCAGCAAGTTACACCTGGTGATCCTCGGGAGAGATGAGTGTTCTCAGTGTGGGTGTCCGGTTTGAGAGCGTCTTCCCCGCTAAAGGCAGGCAGAAGATTGCTATGCCTACCGGTCCAACAGCATGGCATGGTGGACACGACGAAGCAGCTATTGCGGACTGTGGCCCTTCGGTAGGGCTTCCTGCTTCCTTCGGCCAGTGGACGACCAGGCAGTGGTGACGGGGCCTTTGCAGCTGTGGACAGTCCCATGCTGTGACCAAGCGTGTGATGTGCTGGGCCTCTTTACGACGTCGAGGTGCGCCTACCGTAAGACCTGCAATGTGGCGAGTGTCTCTGTGTTGTGGTGGACAGTGTTGCGCCTACGGAGACGGACTACGGCCACTTCAGGGAGCAGCGCCACTGCAGCCCTTACGTGACCTCTTCGGACGGCGGACGAGCTGTCATAACCGGCAATACAAGAAACCAGCATGCAAGAGACGCTCATCGGCGTACCTGCCATACGCTGTCCGCGTTCCACAGGAACGCGGGAAATCTCTTGGCGCGCTGCGAGGAACGCGCATCGGCAGGCCTGCTGTACGCAGTCGGCGTCTAGCGCGTGCACGGACGGCTATAAAAGAAGCGTGTCGGGAGTGCGCTGGGCTCTCTCTGGACTTCGCTGGCCCGCTCGCCTCGTGTGCGCTCTGGGCCCTTGTGATGAAAAGGCGCGTCTGTACGCTCTCGTTGCAATGTACTTCTCTTGCAAATATGTAAATTAAACGCATCTTCTACTTGTTCGTGAGACGCGTCGCAAGAGTCGTCCTTCGCCGGATCCTGGGTGGCAGCCTCAACCCCTCCCCGGGCATATCAGTACATCTTGCCACTGTCTTCATTGTAAATAATGGTCAATTAATGTCTCATTACTCCACAACTTTGGGTAATCTTGCGTGGTATACATCATGAACGCGAAGAATACATAGCTGTAACAGGTACACTTCACTACAATGCTAAGTAAACAACCCGCGCAATATTGGCCCTACTTTGAAGATGCATGCCTGGTACAAGTGAGCACTTGTGTTGCGGGATTAATTATAAAAAAAATGTGAATCTAGAGCACCGTACCATACTACTACTTTATGCATGTTTGTGGACGTAGCACAGGACATTTAATCAGCCGTACTTTTATAAACACTGATATGTCATATCTATTTATTATAAAAGGGTCACAAGAAAGCATTATCTACTGCGGCCGAAGCAAGGTACCGAACTCAGTAACATAGTCTCAGTGACTCTGAATGGTTCAATGCGCTAATATATCGGCGGTTAGAAGGTGATCATCATTGTTTGAGGTTTATGCGCCAAAATCGCAATAATAATATGAGGCACGCTGTAATGAGGGATTGCAGATTAATTTATACCATCTGGTTAATTTTGATCCGTATGTCATGTTGGTTTGTTCTAGCTTACTAAGTTTGCGGTATTGGTCTATTACAACCTGTACATCACTTGCTTATGGTGCATTAGCTTGTACTTCTCCATTTTAATAATAGGAGAAGGATGCCTACATATCTTGGTCGCGCAATACAAAATGAATGCTTTTTATCTGTAGATATCGAATGCCTCATTTTCCCGTTTAAAGGTGATACGTTGAGACGATTGCTCTCATAAATGATTACAGTATGCATTTTCTTTATTTTAGATCGTATAGTTCATGGCCGAGTAGTAAAAAGGTAGCAATGGTGCAAGAAAGTAACGATTTCAGTAACGTTCTCGCTAGGGCTAGCTGGTGAATTCTTGAACACATATTTGAGTTGCACCCACCCTGTGTGCTCTTCTTCGTCCGTGTTTTTTTTTTTTTGCGCAACCCTAATATTAACGGCCTCCGTTACTACCCGTTTCATTCCAGTTATTAACTGTGTACTAATGTAAGTAGTAAAAAGACAGCAAAATTTGCAGCATATCAGTGGAGCGAATGATCAGGGGGGGGGGGCGAAGCGTCCATCCGTCCGTCCATACATCTGTCTGCGTCTGTGTCTTTTTGTCTGTCTGGCGACGAGCACGAGCCAAAGAGGATCTTCGAGCCAGCCGCTCCACTTCGTCCATGCCCCACCAACGATCCGACACGTACGGTGACGATCCAGACGACAGAGAGGCACTCGTTCTCGGCGCATCCAGGCACAGCCCGCGCCACAGCCAATCGGAGAGTAGCGGTACAACAACATTTTGAACATCCTCACTCAACTGTAGTGTGTATGTACTTCTATGAGATGGTGCCATCTATTATACTGTCACGGGGTCGTGACGTGGCCGAAGACAGGAGACTTCTTGTTGGAATGTAACTGTTTATTTGGGCGAACCTGTGCCCGGTAAACAGAAAGTCCAATTACAGCAGCAGTCTCGCACAGATAGCAGTCTCAGACTGATAGCGGCGAACGGAGCGTCGGCCTTCGATCAACAACTGACAAGCGGCGAAGCGCGTCGGCATTTATACTCTTGCCGTCGAATGTTCTAGCGTTATCGCTTGCGGTGGCGTAGCTTCCAGAACAATCTGTACCGTTCGCACAGTGGGCGTGATCTTATCGAAATGATCTACTACAGTCTGGAACCTTCTCGAAAACTGCAGGCGCGGTTTGCGCTGAGAATCGTGCAGTGTTTTCGGACGATAACAAAAACTTGGGAAATGGAACGTGGCATTGCCCCCCTCTGAAAAAAAGGCATCGTCCCGATGCTTTAACTAAAGATGAAAGTACAATAATAATGCAAGAAAGTACAATGAATAAATTACGATACAACAATAATACAAAAAAACACTAGTTCAGTTTGTTAACGCGCATGAAACGGCTTGAGGCGCGCGACATGGACGACTTCAGGTCGCGATCGGCGTCGTTGAGAGTTCGCGATGCCGTCGGGGACAACCTCGTAATCAAGTGGGCCGAGCCGTCGAACCACCCTGTACGGTCCGAAGTACCGTCGCAGAAGCTTTTCACTTAGTCCACGTCGGCGTATCGGCGTCCACACCCAAACACGTTCACCGGGCTGGTATTCCACGAAGCGTCGTCGAAGGTTGTAAGGGTGGCTGTCGGTCGTCTGTTGATTCTTGATACGGAGACGCGCAAGTTGTCGGGCTTCTTCGGCGCGTTGAAGGTACTCGCTCACATCGAGGTTTTCTTCGCTCACATCGAGGAACGTGGCAATACTGTTCGGGAGATACTGCCGGTTACGCCTGACGCGGGACAAGGTCAGTATAAGAGGAGCTTCGCTCCAAAATGTAAGGTTCGCAACTAGCAAGTGTTTACGAACGTAGGTTGTAAACAGGTTGCAAGAGGTTAGTAAAGGTCAAAGCAAGGTAGCAAGTGTTGCAGTTACTACCTATTATTTGCTTCCCGTTGCTACCTTTTAACTTTTTTTAAAGAGTGTAGACGACGCATCCTATCTGTCGATGAGATTCGAGCCCGCAACCATCGGATGCAACAATAAAAAATTTCGACAACTGGTGACGTCATGATGGAGTGTTTACATAATTATTTCGTTCATCGTTTGTGTTGACGACGCTGATGGTCACTTCTGATTTTGATTTGATTGATTTTGTTAATTTGTCAACGCACGTGATGAGAGGTGAATGGGGCTTCGCACGCGTATTGGTGAATACAGCACCTGAGACGCAGGCATTTCGATTACATGCATGTCTCACACTTTGCCAAGCCGTCATTACAGTGTTGTTATACATTGAGGTGTACAAGGATTTCGCATTTATAAATAGCGGCCGGTCACCCGACCAAGGGATAGAAAAAGTATCAGACCTTTAGTGACCAGTTAAGTGCAGGTACCGAAACGTCTTAACGCGTTTTTTTTTTTTTTACAACGGCTTGGTTAGATACGCGTGCGCGAGTAATCTGTATTAAGAAAAAAATGCGTAGATAGTAAAAAGATATCAAAGCACATGCCTGTCCCGGATGGTCACCTCGCTGTGCTGGGAAGGCTTCACAGCTGGAGAGCTCCCACAGTAGCTCTGACACAAAAGAAAATATTAAGATGGCAAAATTGGCACCTGATAAGCTATTTTTTAATAACAAAACTATCTGTTAATGAGCTTGTGTTTTCATCGACAACGATGTTGTAATACTGTTATACATCGGGATTTTTCCGCACTTAAATGATGTAGGCGATGATATAACTAGTTCAAGGACGTTCATACCTATAATAAACTGTTTCGTTTTGATAACATATTTTGAAGCGTGATCACATATTACGACTCGAGTCGTTTGCTACGTGCTATACTGTTACAGTGAAAGACCGCATGCAATAGCAACTACTTGAGCTTAGTTATACCTGCAATGTCTCTAGCTTATAAACGATAATTTGTTTTCCCTTTCGCTGCCTTCAACAGTGAATGCAGTTGTCTGTTGAGCCCCATATCATATTAAGTTCGACTCATTTAGTTGTTTTATTCAACTTTACAGACAAAAATTCGACCTCTCATTCAAAGAACACTGCCACCCCTCACCCAATTTGTTCACCTCTCCCCAAAACATGCACGGACACACTTCTGCGCATCACATATTCGGTATGTGTGCACGGCAGCCGAGTAGTACAGAAAAAATGCGTGCTGATCTGCTGACGTTACCTTCTGAAGCGCGTAAGGTGGCGTGGGAAGATTATACGAGCAGGAAAAACTGGCACATGTTTTCTGGTTGCCACCGATATCACGCTGGCACCACCTTGCCACTACTCTAGTTTTAGAGGCCACGTTTAAAGCACTGTATTTTTTCTTCTCTCAGCCTAAGTTAGCAACTGCTCCTCACAGAAGCGCGTCCGCTGTTGATACGCCATGACGTCACCCACCGATGCATAAGAAACGAAGAAAAATTGGTCCACGTCCATGTTGAAGGCCTTCACGAAGCTCTTGACATCGATGTTCTTCTGGTTCACAAACTGCTTGTAGATCTGTCGCAAGAAAAGAGGAGGCGCTGTAAAGCATGCCCCGAACCAAAATTGACAAGAACATAGAAACAGCAGGATAAGCTCGCTGAATAGCCTTATTTTAACAGTTGAGAAGAAACCAGGTGTTTTTGTGTGTTTGTACTCTAGCGCGCAGGCAGCGTGTCTGTATATGTGGGCACAATTAAAAACAGCACCGGGGCAGGCTGCATGATTTTGCTGAATTTTGGCGTTCCCTTTTCCTTCAAAACGAATCAGAGCAGCCTTGCAAAGCACGCACATGGCCGCAAGATGAAAAAAAACGAGGCTTATGCAGTTCCTGTCATATGATGTATTCCGATACGGTAACGAACACTAAGGACAAGATGAAGACGTGCTATGTCCTGTCCTCACCTCGTCGTCTGTACTCATTACCCCACTGCCGTAACACACCAGGATGAACTCTAATCAGCTCGCTCACCTAGACGTTATTCTGTCAGCGTTCTTTCTGGTTGAAAAAATTGCATTAGGAATGCGGAGGGCTATGATCAAACAGGTTCTAATTGGCCCGACTAGGACCGTGACCCCTCAAAAGTGGGCGACTTGGGTAATACATATTACAATGAAAATGCACTAATCGAGCAAAGTGGCCTTAGTGACTTAGTTACCTGAAATGAAATAGTTCAAATAATGAAATGTTTCTCTGAGCTCAGGCTCAGAAAAACAAATTATCTTAATGAGCCCTTTGACTTTTGCATAGTACTGTAGCGGGAGAGAAATGTTGGTACGCGCACTCAACTAAAAATTATCGCGACCACCAATTCATATGCAGAGGCGCATGGCGCATACGCGCCCGACATGCCTCACGCAGCTACGGCCCTTTCTCCATCGGAATTGCAGACGCCGCAGCCGTGATTCGATTTTGGGACCTGCAGTTCAGCAGCTGATTCCTTCCTTCTTCGAAATAAAGCCTTGAGACTGTTCGACAATGCTAGACAGAGCAACATATCTCGAAAACTTTTGCGAGCTGCAAGCTCAGAAAAGGTTCGTAGCGGTTATAGTTAGCCCAGAAATATCGCGAGAAGGCTGTCCCAATCTGCATACCCTGAAACTCGGGCTGATGGCAGCGGAGTCAGCGACCACTGAGAGTATCTCCTGCGTGAAAGAAAAACATGGCAACTGGTAAAAACCAATCCCTCTAGCCACCAAACTCGATGCACATCTTTGGGCCGCTTTGGTCCCACCAGGGCTGTTAGTGAGAGAGTAGAAAGTTTATTGAAAATGTCCGGCGATATTTAACGGGCAGGGGATAGAAGCACCCCAGCCTAGGTGACGGATTCGGAGTCTTCTTTATGAAATCTTTTTTATTTTTCTCACACCACGGAGATGTTACATACATAGGTGGCGGCGTTGTGACAAATTTGGCGCCTGTTGATTACATAAACATGGCCCGACAAGGTGCGTCGGTCACATGTGCCTTTACACGCACCGTTTGCCAACAGTTTATGGTTCCTCATAATTGACGCTTTCTCTCAGTCGTGGGAATGTCTGGGATTAGGCGTTTCTGATACGGCAATGATATCTTTCATCGAAGTCCTTGTCATTTCGTTATTGAATGGATATGAATGGATTACCTCACGTACCGGCAACAGTTAATTGTACTCTTGGGGCTCAAAGAAATTAGAAAGAGGAGTGGGGACACACAAAGAATACATTAGCTGATTTTGTAGAGTAAGAGTTGTGTAACGAAGCTAGAACGAAACCTTAAAGGCAAAAAAAAGGTAGAAGTACAAGGCAACTGGCGAGTGGTGAAAAGTTACAGCAACAAGACAACACATTAACACAGCAGCGGGAATACATGAGAATATATGTATATATATATATATATATATATATATATATATATATATATATATATATATATATATATATATATATATATATATATGAAACTGTTCTGTAAGAGCTGTCATAGGGATGATCACCTTAGCTGATCTCGTTAGTATGCGCGGTCCGGTCAGATAAGTTACATTGGGTTAGGTTAAGTTAGGCAAGGTTAGTTTATCGTAACACGATACCGTCTCTGAAGCGTTTTGGCTCGCCGTCTCGGACAACTGCTTGGCGAAGCATTCCCGAGTTTTCTGGAAGTGCTTCTTGGTGACGTCAGACCAGGCAGGCTTTGAGTAAGGGCTCACGTGATCACCGGTTCCTGCCGATTCGAGAAACAACAGTACTACACGCTGCAAATTTCGATTCACGCCTACACATATCTCTGAGGGTAATTTACAGGTCAAACCCGTTACAACAGACATACATCGAGCACCAATTCTTGTCTTTTATATAAGGTGTCTCCTATAAGCAGAGTACCGCGTATGCATTTTTTTACCCCAATGTTAAGGTGTACACACACTGCTGTCTCTTAAACCAATTTGTCGCTTACGTCAATGCTTTTTTGTAAACGGGTTCAAATGTATTGTTTTAAGCAATTTTAACGTCTAAAAAAGGTAATGATACGAAAATTTTCCGGCCTTCTGCGCCAAATGAAAAGCCAGTCCCGCAAAGCCTATAAACAGCACTCGTAAGCGTGAGCGCATTTTTAAAATTTAAAATATTTTAAAATATTTCATTGGTTCCTTATTTTGTGTCAGGACGTCACAACAAGGTATCAGCTCGACACATGCTCGGTATCCTGTCGTTTACGTGGCCGCTCCGCTACGAGGCTTTGTTGGGGACGCACAAGTGGCCGTATCGAATGTTTTGGTACGTGACGTCATCACAACTAGACCCACTGATGCGTGACGTAACCAGAATAGACGCTGTATACCAACGTCACGATAGTAGGTGCGTCGCGAGGAAATCTACATTAATCTTAAAGTATAGTCTAGCATTGCCGAGCTGCACTCTATGCTCAAAGCAGTCTCTGTACTCTGGAGACTAATGTCAGTAAGAGAGTAAACTCACCTGCAAACATTGACGTCAGACAAAATTCTTTGATAGACTTACGTACCTTCTCGCAGAACTTGAGACACGAGGCATCGAGAGATCTTGGGAAGAATGTCCGGCATGTGAACCATGCTGAAACATGAAAAATAACAGCGCAATCAGCACTTTAGTTATACTCGACAAACACGGCAGGCAAAGAAATCAATTGCCGTAAGTGATGCTGCTCAATACAAAAAAAAGTGAAAAAAAAAACCGCACAGGAAGTTGTCGTGTGAAGGATGGGAGACGTTCCAGAACGAAACAGGAGCATCTGTGAAAGAAAAATAAGAGGAACAATCTGCACTGGCATAGGGAACCAAAATGACCTGGCCGGAACTCACAGATGTTTGTTCCTTTTGCGTCGAAAGAACAATCCGGATCTAGGATGGTACCCAGCCACCTGCGACGTAGATGTTAAAACATTAGTAATTCATCGGCTTAGTAATAAAGATTATACTCGCTTGCATCTATCCTGAACCCGCGCTATCTTATGCAGAGCTGCCTGGGCTTAGCTACCGAAAGGCGCGATAAGTGGTAAAAAAAAACACCAATAAGCTGATATGCACAGAGAAGCAGTAAGACGTTAGCTAGCTGAACACGTTCACGTTACCTCAGGGAAATACATGTTATCACTGAAGTCTGTAGTTGAAAGCAGGTTACGTTGCCATTCCTATGTAAGTAGGTGCGCCACGAGAAAATCGACACTAATAATAAATATTGTTTTCCTATAGGGGGGCCATTTCTGAAACGTCCTTTCCGCTTTGCACAGAACACAAATTTTTAACATCAGGAGACGATGTCAAGATGAACTTTGAACAAAATAGCGTTGAGAATTCAACGAGACGAAGAAAAGGTGTTTTGAACTCGTCGCTCTATCCAGGGTGGTAAACTTCAAACAAAAGTTGAAGCCAAGTGAACACACTGGACGTACACCGAATAGCAAATTTTTACAGGACGAAGACGACTCTTGGCCGCAGTAGGGTGTCAGGTGGGAAAGAGACAAGGAGCATAAAGGGCGAGGAGCAGCTTTGTGTCACGCATTCGCGTGAGCCACGCTACCTCTCCTATACACTAATCGAAACAGGCCACTCTGACTACCGTGTAACGCGAGAGCCATCTCTGCTTCATGGTCTGACTTGATGAAATTCCGTAGATTGGTCATGTCGGCTTGCAGCGGACGTTGAACGTGTCGCCCGCCTTTTGAGAATGCCGCGCATCGGGTGTTCTAAATCAGCTGGGCACATCGTCTGTCATTGTGCGCATCGCGTATAAACATTGTCACTTGAAGGCCGGTTAGCTTGCTGCTATTCGTGTAGTGTGTGTGGTGTGTGTTCACAGAGTTGGCCATTACTTTGTTCAAAAAAGAATTCTTGATGTGTGAACCCGCTTTTGTAATTTAGCACGCTGGTGTGGCTTCCAACAGTATTTTTTCTGTCTGATTTCTTTTTAGTTCCAATGTAATGCACCAGTGCTCTGCTAGGAGAGTCCAGTGTTCATATCTGAAAAAAGGAGTTTTGACATTCTAAGGGTGGCGTGGAACTGGGGTGTGGGGTATTGTATATGTTGTCAAACCCACCCGCTTGAGTGGCAACCGCATGACCGGCTGCATGTCCCCCGTCAGTGCCAGCGTGCCCTGGTGTCCAAAGAATTTTAAAATTTGTTCCAATGTCTTGAAATCTTGCTAATATTTTTTCTAGTGTCGTTGGCTACAGCATTTTCAGTGGTTGGAGCCGCCAGTTCAGTTACTGCCTCGTACGAATCTGTAAGGATGCGACAGTGAATTGTTTGGATTGATATTGAATGTTATTGAACTGATATTGAATGACGTTTCTAATACAGTGTGCAGTGGTATAGGTGGCAATAACTACTACACGCTGGAACGTTTGATTGGAAACTGCGTTCCCGGACAAAGCGACAATATGCGTCTGTATGAAATTTCACGCATCGCAAACTTTTGCTGCTGGGTGTACGTTGCGATTTTTGTCTTTTCTCTCTCGGACGCAACTGTTCTCATATCACAATGAAATGAAATGGCCACAAAAATAGCCTCAAAATCAGTGGGAAGCAAACTTATGACGTTTACAAGACTGACGAATTGCTATAAAATGATACTCTGATTTGCCGTCGACGTTTTTGTAGGAAGGTTTATAATAGGCAGTTTGTCAGTAATACCCTCACTGCCTTCTCATTGGCAATTTGCCCGCCTCGCAACCAACAAGTGTAAATTGCCTGTAGTAACCATAATCGTCATCACCACCACCATTACAATCATCACCATAAGAAGCTCCTTGAGTCCAGTCCTCACCTATCGTCGACGTTGGCTGATTGCGTCCTCAGCGTGTTCTCAAAGAGCGCCTTCCGAATGGACGCGTACGAACGGAGGCCCTCGTTCTCTGTTACCATCGGAACCTGATCAAAAGACAAGATTACGAGCGAAATAAATTGCAGTCAGTTATCATGAGGATGAATGTCATTTAGCAATACATCGGCCTACACACTCATCAACACTGTGACGTGCATTAAGTATGGCTCGTAATTTTCTATTCCCGTGTACCAATTGCTTAGTTGCACATCAATACCTTCCTAACTCACCACTCCATCCGCGATTTCCATCATTTCCGCTTTTCTTATGACCCGTTGCCGATTTTTCCCTGCTGCTGTAGCTCGACCGACTAAAGCCCGTTTCACTTACACAAAAAGTAGCAATTTTTAGTCTGCAATGTCGATCGCAGCGAAAAAAAAAAGGGGGGGGGGCACTTCCCTCCCGCGGCAGCGGTCTGCGGCGAGCTACCAATATGTCGGAAATTTTTGCTCTGATCGCAGCGGCGAGAGTGATTTCTGTTCGGGTCGGGGGTCGGGTCGGGCCGGCCAAGCTGTCGAAATCACTTCGACGTGTTTGTTTTCATAATGGCCGCTGTTGCGCATCTTAAAGTGTACTTAGATTAGAAAGTGTTCTTAAATGACGAAACACAAGTTCTCTTCGGTATCGTTCATGGAAACTTAATATCATGATGCACAGATTGTTACATTATATTTGAAAAATTCCTATTGTCTGCCACAACGAACGATGGCAAGAAACGTTGCTCGCCGCTCCAGTCGCAGAGTGAAAATCGTGGACCGTTCGCGGTTCATGTGAAACGAAACCGCCATTAGCGGCGGTTGCGAACAGGGCGATTGGAGCGAACGAAACGATGTTTTTTCGCTGCAATCGCGGCATGTGAAACAGCCTTAACGCGGCTCCTTAAATTAGCTAGTAGTGGATGGTGCAACAACACCTGAGGTTTTACGTCCCAACATTACGATCTGATTGTGAGGGACGCCGTAGTGGGAGGGCTGTGGAAATTTTGACCTTATGATTTTTTAACATGCACTGACATCACACAGTACACATACCTCTACTATTTCACCTCGATCGAAATACGCCCGGCGTAAACCGAATGCAGCAATATTGAATTGAGAACCGAGCGCGGTAACAGCAGTGGCGTATTTAAGGCACGCAGCTACTTTATGGTTTAAAAAAGCGAATCTTTCGCTCATTGCCCAGGCCCTATAGGCTGATAGTAAATGCTCACTTTTGCCTTGAGGACACGATTTTAATTAGGCTACAGCTCAAAGCGCGTCGAAGCGATGTTCGATAAGCGACTGATTGAGTGCTGGACACTAACAGCTCGAACTGTGAGGAATGACCCACGTAAGATCAAACAATGCACTCACGTTTTCGTACTGGGCGAAAACCTTGAACTTGTCGATTATCCAGTCGGGATAGAAGGCCCTTACGCGGCTAGTCAGCACCTGGAACGCGAGACGAAATTTCACAAACATTATAGAGAGAAAACGACCAGCTTCAAAGTTAAACCTCTTGAGAGCTAAATTATTATTACCTGTTGGGGTATGACGTTCTGGTTACTGAAGCGTCTACTAGATGCTCCAGAAACGGGTTTTGTGCTCGCGCAACGGCTGCCACTGCACTCTTGAGGTAAAGTGGCTCGCATGTGATATCGGGGGTTTTACGTCCCAAAACCACGATTTGGGTCTCAAGCATTTTCAACTTGATCGTACGTGCGGCCGCCGCGTATGAGATTCGAACTCGTCATCTTCGGTTCAGCAGTGCAACGCCATAACGACTCGATCACCATGGTGGCGGCTCATCACGGTAGTTGAAAATTACAAACAAAATTTAGGGAATGATAAGTATTTTTTTACATTTCCCGAATTTCTAACTTGACAGTTATTCAGAGATGCAGGATGATACACTGTCAAATAGCTCAAGTTCAAGTTTTCGACAAATAAGTGCCCTGTCCCGCCACGGTGAAACAAAGTGCCTGAGCCAAAAAAAAAAAAAAAACGTCTTCCATTAGATGTAACCATATGTGGATGTGAAGCAGCGGGTAGTTCGTGAAGGGCACTCGCAGAAAGTCGTCTACATCGCCTTATACAGGTGTACCAACATTCAGAAGCTATGCATGACAGTGTGCCGGTGATCATCGCTTGATGCCGGTGACCGCTGCCTTGAACGCTACTGGTGACCATGACTATAGCACTGCTGAACAGCCGGTTACACAACGCACACGACAGAGATATCGAACGTGATCCTGTGCTAACCAAAACTGGCACGCTCCTTCTCAAGGAAACGTGAAACGCTGCATGACCGACGGTCAACGGCTACAAAGTGATCGTGTTTGCTGAGGAAGCGTTTTGGTGCATTCGCCGCCGACTCGAGAGCGACAGAGAGAAGGGACGCACATGTGCAAGGGGGATTTGACACCGCGGGAAAGAGAGAGACAAACACAGCCCCTGCCATAACCTGCTTTGCATCTAAAAGCACGACCACTGATGTAAATTACTTTCGTTGATATCTCGCCTTGGCGTTTACCCATTTGGCAGCTTATTTTGCAAAGGCAGCAGTCTTATGTGTAAGGTGAAACTGTTTTTTTGGCCGAACTTGCGGCCAGTCGACGGAAAATCAGATTGCAGCAATACACATTGGCATCAATGGCGGCGAACAGAGCGTCTGCCATTGATCAACTGATCATTCACGTCTTGCAAGTAATCTTAACTAAACGATCTACTACAGTCTGCAAGTTTTTCGAACACTGCACGCGCGGTTCGCACTGAGCATTGCTTAAAGTTTTTGTATGGGCGAAAACCAAAGATAGAAAAAGGGAAATAAGAAACAGGCGTGGTAATATGTAGAGCAGATGCTAAATAGGAGCTCTCCGGGAATTGATTCCGACAGAAATCACTGGGACTGAGAGGGTTAATTTTGTTTACGGCAAATAACTAGGCTTTTTGTCTTACCTTCTTCGACACCCGGGTCTTGGTCGCGTCATCCATCCAGTTAATCTTCCTGACGAAAGAAGACACGGCGTCTTTCGTGGCTGCGGTGATGTTTGCAGCCTGATCGAAAACAGCGATAAACCATCAGACTTCAGTGAGGCTTACTGGTGAATGGGTCGGTTGGCATCTTACAGGTCAGAGTAAACGAAAACAAAGAATTAGGAAAGAAAGACTAACTTTGTTTTCTACGTGCTATTTCTTCCAGAGGTCTGTTTCTTGTAAGCCCTAACGTGCATCTCATAAAAGCACGTCACATACTAGTCACACTAGCCTGCACCTATGGGCGCGCACTCTAGAATGATGTGATGAGTCGGACTTTCGGTCACCCAGCCTTCGGGGAACGTGATGCGAGCACTTGATTCCTAGTCTGTACTGGCGTCGCAAAACATGTCAAATTTCAATGAATACCTTTCAGCCACAGCCACTGAAATACGGAAAGTTCACCTTGAAACCTATGACGTCTGGGGCAGACATTTCAGTGCAAAATTTCAAAATGAGGCTCCGACCTCTTTTTTCTCCCCTATCCTGCCTATAATAACGAAATTGGCGACGGTTGGAGGACAATTGGTCGTTCTAAACCAATTCACTATTTCCATTTAGTGTCGCTTTCAAAGCATCGCGTGGCACGTACCTTAAAGTTGTGCAGTCCAAGCTTGAAGGCGTTGAATCCGGCGTAGAGTGACATGACGGGGAGTGACTCGGCGACCACGCGCAGACAGATCTCCTTGCGAAGGGAGGGAGACCTGCCCAGCGCACTCAGGGCCTGCAGCTTGGAAGGCAGGAAAGGCGACGCCAACACCACTTCGCGGAAACCGAGGTAGTTGAGCACGATGTGCCTGCGACACACGATCGCATGACAACAAGGGCTGTACGTTAATGGCTAGTCTGCAGCCGTTAACGTCTTCTTGCTGTACTGAACTGTGATGGTTAGGGAAGAATTGGACAATCCAGCGTGTTTGCTTACGGTTTAGAGTTATACAATTTGCACAGCTAAAGTTCTTGCGCAGTACCGGAATAGCACCACCAGATACTATCCATTTCTGGATACGCCATCCACTGTTCCTCACTCTAATGATAAAATGAACGCGAGATACACAAAGTCAAGATCAAAATAGGGGGCACTCAATATCGTTGAAAGTTGAGCGTGATGGTGTCTGTTCATGTTTACTTGTGAAGCAGCACACGGAGACAAGGAAAAAAAAGGAACGAAAGGAACGCTGTTGCCCTCGCGGCAAGTTTATTTCCCAGAAGGGATGGCTAATATAGAGCATGATAGCGTCGCCCGTGTGACAATGACGTTCAAGTTACGGCAGTTTTCTGGCGACTTTCCAAAAAGACATTTCTAGGCTTTTGCATATATTCGAATGCTTCGAATATTCGAACGAATCTTTCGAATTCGCTTCGATTCGAATAAAAAAAATCGCAGCATATCCACGGAGGGAATGATGAGTGGGGTGAAGCGTCTGCCTGAACGGACAGACGGACGGACGGATGTTTCGCCCCACTCATTCACTCCGTGGATATGCTGTGAAAACCACAAACGCTATCTAGTTTTATTATTCCTAAGGGCATATATACACATAACGCCATCAATTGAGCAACTCAACTAAAGGTGGCTGACTACTACTACTACTACTACTACTACTACTACTACTACTACTACTACTACTACTACTACTACTACTACTACTACTACTACTACTACTACTACTACTACTACTACTACTACTACTACTACTACTACTACTACTACTACTACTACTACTACTACTACTACTACTACTACTACTACTACTACTACTACTACTACTACTACTACTACTACTACTACTACTACTACTACTACTACTACTACTACTACTACTACTACTACTACTACTACTACTACTACTACTACTACTACTACTACTACTACTACTACTACTACTACTACTACTACTACTACTACTACTACTACTACTACTACTACTACTACTACTACTACTACTACTACTACTACTACTACTACTACTACTACTACTACTACTACTACTACTACTACTACTACTACTACTACTACTACTACTACTACTACTACTACTACTACTACTACTACTACTACTACTACTACTACTACTACTACTACTACTACTACTACTACTACTACTACTACTACTACTACTACTACTACTACTACTACTACTACTACTACTACTACTACTACTACTACTACTACTACTACTACTACTACTACTACTACTACTACTACTACTACTCCTCCTCCTCCTCCTCCTCCTCCTCCTCCTCCTCCTCCTCCTCCTCCTTCACTTACCAAACTTCACTTTTCGCTTTGAATTCGCTTCGATACTAAAAATCACTCTTGCACAAGCCTAATCACTTAGAAGAACCAATGCTTGACTGATGCAATAATTTTTTTAGATATATGGAAGGCCTCGGTAACTTCCCTCGTTCAGTGATAACTTCCTGGTATGAAGTTTTTTCATATCACTAAAAAATAATTGCATCAGCCAAGCATCGGTTGTTCTAAGCGATTGTGAAATGTCTTTTTGAAGATCACCGGAAGCTGTTATTACATGAGCGTCTTTGTCGCACGTCGTACGCTATCGTAGTGTATATTAACCATGCTTTCAGCGAAATTAACTAGTTTCGAGTGCAGCGGTCGTCTGTATTTTCGATTCCTTTTGCGCCTTGTCTTCATGCGCTGCTTCGCAAGTAAAAAGGGGACGTTATTTATTCTATGTGCATTATTGTAGAGTGCTCTGGTTAAACGCCGCCCCTGCTATTTAGGAACCCTGCGCACGCCTATGACTCTAGTTGTCGGCTAGTTGGTCAATATGAATGTTTTGGGATACGCAGGGATCTCTTGTTCACAACAGAATGACAGCTGAGCAGCCGTCTTATGCAGCGTTGAGCGCATGACATGTCCGGGAGGACCCGTAGTTTTTTTGTTAGTCAAATTATCTATTCGATGTGTTACTTGCGGTCTGAATGAATAGTGATCCAAGGATGGGTCTCGTCAAAAACAGGTCACTGACCAATATTAATTAAGACAAAACAAGAATGACGGCTGAGCAGTAGCATGTTATGTAGCGTTGAGTTCATGACGTAATGTCCAGAAGTAACCATAGTTTACTATGCCTAATGATCTATTGATGAACTAGTCTACTGTTGGTCGACAAGTTGGTAGGGCTAAACTTATCGGCTAACCCATGACTAGCTTGTGCAGGTCTCGGTTACGTGTGGGTCACGCCACAGAATCTGTGCGACGATTGCTTCGGTACAACGCTACTCTTATCGACTGTTCCAGACAGGCTGATCTTGGTCACAGAGATGACAATGCTCTTTCGTTAGCTGCAAAAATGTTTTGGCTGGATCGTTAACATCACCCCTGTCAAATTCCGACGCCCAAGTAGAGCGACTCACGGAGCCGTCTGCTTGATGGCCGTCAGGAGGTCGTCGAGGAAATCCACGTCTTTGACCAAGAACTCGGTGGACTTGGTCACATGCGTGATGTTCTCGAGGGCGAGGCTCAGAAACTGCGGCGAACGAAGGTGGCGGGTTTTGAAGCAGCTTGATCAATAAACGTGTGTCAAGGTAAAGCCAAACGGTGCGATCTGTTGAATCTACCCAACGCGTCCCTGGCGTATATTGTATTGTACAACTACGAAGGTAGGACTACTCTGTTATGTGATCATCACCTGGGATGGTGCGGTGAACGCTCGTATACTGTGCACGCATTACTAGAGAGCTTTAGAGTGGCGTAATGCTAAGTTAGTGTTCGTGTTGGGGCGCCCTTTATTTCCGTCAGTTAACGGGAACGCGCAAAAGTTTAGCATGCGATGCATGCACAGTTGCGGCAAACGGAAAGCTTTGCCTACGCTCCATTAAACGTTTTTTAAGGCGATCGCTTTCCATGCCTATACATAAGTGAAACGTTGCCGGCGGCATCAGCCCGAGGGATGCGAAAACTCATCAAGGGATCATGCCAGCCTATGGCCCTTCCAGGTTTCCACAATTTATGGCGTCATGAAGTTCCATACCCTAAAGTCTTATGATGTCATGACTGTCGCTTGGTCAGATGTGGGCGCATCCCGTATGCACCGCGAAACCCCGAGGGGTGCAGAAAGCTTTTAGTGGATGACAAGTACAGACGCGGGAGGACAAAAATGGGTGGACAAGAATAGACGCGTTAGCGCTTATTTCCGCACTATTATCCTACATATCATGCAGTATCACGATAAAATGGATGCTTGGGTTAATTCGTGATCTGGAATCAACATATTTCCATAGCGTAAAAAGTAGTTGCAGCGCATACCTACAGAATGAAGAAACATGGACAGGAAAGAGCACTGACTTTAACTAAATTTTATTAGCGATAACGCTCGTAATATATACACATGCGGTACCAACTAGCTTGATAAATATAAGAGAGGCAGAAAAGTTTTCGTCGGATTGATTGGGGTTGGGTTAGGTTATGTTAAGTTGCGTTAGGTTTTTCAGCCCTTATGTATAACTCCGTGCCAGTTTGTCAACGAAGGCCAACCTGATTAACGTTCCTGCCTTTCGTTCGCGTCGTCTATCACTATTGCGAGATTTCTCTAACCGTGCGCATCCATATAGTAGATCAATTCAATGTCTTCATTTAGCGTCCCAGATAAACTGCCGCGGGAGCCTATTGGAGCTCGCGGAGAAGATGGCGAATGTCACAGCGCTCGCAACCGTACGGTAACTGCGGTCGTCCATTCTGTGGCATAGCTCGTAGGAGACACTGGGTACGTGCCCCTCCAAAAATTACTCTTTGCCATGCAGTACAGCTCACGAAACCACATTCGATTACTCTTGCAGGTGAGGTCCCCACTTTAGATGAAGGACATACATGCCTCTACAGAAAGAAACTACTGATAACGCCACTACGTCTATACACACGCCACTACGTCCATACACACCACAGAAAGTGAGTATAGAGAACGGCATTTCGAAAACTCACCTCAGTCAGCTCGGGATGGTCGGCAAGCTTCTGGACGGCCATCTTGGGCTGGGCGCGCAGCATGTTGGCCAGGCGGCTCTCGAAGGAGGACACTTCGACGGCGAACACCGGTATAAGAAGGCGCTCGCGGAACGGGGACAGGGCGTGCATCACCGCGCCGTAGTACCACTTCACAGACCGGTTGCCCACACGGGGAGACAGCAGAAGTTTCGGATGGCCGATCTGAAGTAGAATCGTGGAATTTACTAGAGGGTTTCTACGGTGGAAATAAAAATAAATCATTGATCATCCACGATGAAGCGTTTTCTCGCCATGAACACACTCCAAACATAGTATTTGTACTGCAGTGCGACCCAATCCTGCAATTGTGTCGTCATCAAAAATTTTATGGGGATGTTGGTTTATTGCAGGGCGAGGGAGTAGCAGCACAAACACACACCCACTATAAAGAGACGACATGGACACGCAGCGCTTGTGTGCGTCCGTGTCGTCCCTCTTGCGTGTGTGTGTGTGTGTGTGTGTGTGTGTGTGTGTGTGTGCACGCTCTTACTCCCTCACTCTATAATTATATCTTCATATCTTCCTTTCTTCGTTTATACAGCGACGACTGCTGCTGATCGAAAGTTTGCGTGATCAAGTCTCGTCCCGTCCCAGTCACCACATTTCGATAGACACAAACTATTGGACGCCCATGCGCTTAGATTTAGGTGCACGTTAAAGAACACCAAGCGGTCAATTTCCGGAGCTCTGGCATAAAGCTTTAATCATGATTTTGAGGTTTCCGGACATAATGAAAGATAATATTTGATGATGTTATAATAATAATAATAATAATGAGAACAATTATCTTTTCGCTTGACCTCAGGCACTCTTGCATCTGTTATTTGTCATTTTTTCGTCATAATTAAAGCTTACGATGAGACATAGGACGGAGGCTTGGATTATACTTCTGTACCATCGTTTAGTTTGCACTGAAAAGGTTTTCTTGAACTATGACTGAACATGTTTTGCATGACCTTTTAATTGGATGTCTGTGCCTGCGTTAGGTTAAGTTACGTTTCATGCGTCTGTGTCCAAGTGCCTTATTTTCTTCAACGATCCACCTGGTTCTTCTAGCTCGCCCAGAAGTTAGCGTGTAGCCATCAAGGCACTTTAGAAGTCGTGCTGTGGTTTGCGAGTACGATACACTGGGTTGATTGTCGGAATATTGGAGAAGCCTTCGCCCTGCAGTGAGTGTAGTAAGGCTGATGGGGAGACCGCGTAGAGAAATGTGTCACAGGTAGAATTCAGGTCGGGCTGCCGCTCACCGAGAGTATGCTGGCGCCTTGCTTGTGCGGGTGTTTTTCCACTCCAATGGAGATGAGAGAGGGCAGGTTGAATCGGCGCAGCAGCCGAGCGGCGGCTCGCCAGATGAGTGGCTGCTGGACGGGGTCGGTGAAGGGCCAGCCCGACAGGTCCGTCGACTTCTGTAGCTCGACGAGGGGGTCCCAGCCTCGCTCGCTGATTGCCTCTGATTGAATGAACGAATGAATGAATAACAAGCGTGGAGGCTTCATCATCAACCAGAAAAGTGCAGCAAAGAAAATTTCAGAGTCGCTTAAACAACTTTGATGGGGCATCTAAGGCTGTCACCTATTTGCATATTGTCAAACACGAAAAGCGACTGTTGACCGTTGGCATCGGGAAGCGTCGGAGTCCACACGAGTTGATGCCATAAATCACAATCGTGCGCCGACGCCATCACTACGTCATATGTGGCCAGCACTTGTGACGCCATGCTGGCCTAATAACGACGAATTGAATAACTTTAGCGTCACGCAACATTTTCGTTTTTCAGTTATAGTTACGCACACCACACACACAAACAAAAGCACGACCATGTTGGCTACCCCTTTTAAAAATACCCCCGCATACGACAATGGCATACCTTTGTTCAAGCACTCCATGTACAAGTGCCTGGCAGTCGTCAGCTCCGGGAACTTATCCTGTGCTTCGAGCGGAAAACAATAGATAAAAAAAGCAGTTAGATACCGCACCAATGCAGCAAGACTGCATGGTGCGAATCTCGTGACGAAAAAAAGATGCATGTGGTTAACTAGCAACGACTTATAGCACATGCAGGTTCTAACGTGCTGGCGGCTTCATACGCTTTACGGGAAAAAAGTTTGGCACCTCTACACAAAGAATGAAAATTGTACACGAGTATAATGGAAGAGCGCAAGACGACTGGGGTGGCTGGTGCTACATGATCAAAGTATACCACGCGGCAAGAAACACGCACGAGAAAAAAAGGACACGTGCAGATTATCAACTGAAGGTTTATCACGCACTGCATTTATATATGACAAACAGGAAAAAGAAGAAAGAAAAGAAAGTGAACTGCTAAATTGCTTATTTTTGTTTTTTTTCCCTGTCTGTCATATATAAATGTAGTGCGTGATAAATAAACCTTCAGTTGACTTGTCTGCGCTTGTCCTTGTCTTTTTCCCGACCATGTTTTCTATTACGCAGTATACTTCAATCGAAGAGCACAGCACGTGTCGTTATCGCGATGCTCGCGATTTCCTTTTTCCCGTCAGTAAAGTTCGTTGCGCGGGTGGTTGTTTTTGTTGCATTCCAGGGCATCATCCTTAACCTTCGTCTCGAACGTCGACCTCGCTGAAGATGTTGCCCTCATTGCCGTCGGCGCCTTAATGAGCCCTTTGCCAGCAGTCGCATTGGTCGCAGGCGCAGCGGTCACGGTAGCTTGCGCCCGCCCTTCACATTTACGCAGGGTGCCGCAGGGCTCGTGCACTTGAAGCCACCACGGCGGGCACCAAGAGTCTTCTTTGCAACGACAGCCGTGATGTGCGATGCGCTGCTTACCACGCACTGCCCCGTGGTTACCACTACGAGCGGCTACAGCCAGACCATTGACACACAGGTTGTAGATGGGGTCGTTTTCTGCGGTCGCCTCTGCTGTCGTCCTTCTGGTCGCGTAAGCTGCCTTCTTGCGTGCAACAGCCATTTTTGGTGACGTACTCCAAGGCCTCCAAAATCATCGCTGCTTCAGGACTTTTCGGAAATGGTGTCTCGTCACCGGCAGCCTCGGTATTTTTCGGCTTCCACGCACGGCCACTCACCCTCGCCGCTATGGCCTGGTCCTCGTCAGCCACGTCCAGTCAGAATGCACGACCAAAGTCACCACAGCCTCGTCGCTGGCACCTCGGTCTTCTGTTGCCGTCAAAACTTCGACGGCGTTTCCTTTCTTGTTGTCCTTGAATGCCCGACCATGGGCTCCTCGGCCACGGGACTCATGTTTCCGAATTTCATAGCCGAGTCTTGCATGACATCCTCGTCATCCTCGCCTGTGGCCACTGCCAGGGCGTGGTCCACTGGTAGCTCCCTAAGTGGAGCCTCGCCATCGTCAGCACTGCGCAGTAGAACTGCGCAACACAAGCTGCGCAGTTTTACTGTGCAGCATGTGTCGTTATCGGGTGGTGACGTGCGCGATTCCCACAAGTTGTACGGCCATTCGGCGGACAAGCAAAGCCAATGGCAACGTTTATATTAAGCGCTACGTTTTTCGAACAATCGAGCAAGGAAGCGGTTGAACTCAAGGAGAAACAGTGCTTTTAAAATACTCGAAAATTCTTTATCAGTATTGATCTCGATATACCTGCGTGCGTACGTCGAAAATGCACTTATTTTTCGGATATAATACAAAGTTTTTTTATTCGTACAACATTGGAGAATATTTAAATTATGTTTCCTTGAGCCCGCGTACTTCAACAATGCATGTTAAAAACCAACTTGAACAAATGTTTTGGCAGTTACGAGTTAAATGGGATTTCACTTACCAAAGTTCATACCACAAATTTTGTTTAAGAGGGCTTAGAACCTCCATTGAATTGCATTAATAGAGTTATCATTCGAGAGCATCGAGATGTGCTCTTTAATACTATTCGTTAAAAAAAATGTTCCTAAAAGAGAAGGCTCATAAAATGTGCTTGTAAAAACTAGAGGCATAGTACTGAAATCAATGCACATTTGAAATCACAACGCAAGTATACAAAAACAAAACTCAGCAAGGTATAACAACTTCTCCTAATTCAAAAAAGCTTTAAACAACATTGTCCGCCAATGAAGAATCAGCTCAGTGAAACGAATAATCAAGTTCAGTTAAAGGCAACCGCAGTTGAAGCATTCAGGTATATATGGAAGTATAGAATAAATCCTGTTTTCGTGACAGCAAGGCCACGAGTTTTTCGGGGATACCTTTGATCACGTTCAGCACGCCATCCTCGAGAGCCCGGTGGGTGATGACGCGAGGCGAGTCCGTCCCGTTCCGATGGGTGCACACGAACTGGTAGAAGTCCGCGCAGGCCGACTTCAAGTAGTCATTTGACAAGCGTTTCACGGCCGCAGATCCTAAAGCAGAGCAAGGCAGCAAGTGGCGGCAAGGCTGGAATTAGGTAAGGACTGCCACGACTTCTCTCGTGAATCAGGAGTTACCGACACTTTTTTACACCATTTAAAGTGAAAGAAGAATGTAGGGTGCAAATAGAGCTTTCGTACCACTTAAGGCGTGGGGAATTTACACTGTCTGAAGTGTAAGCATAGTGCACGCAGTCCCTGGTGTACAAAGTGTGAAGACACACTTACGTCGTCAAGATATATCTCCTTACCCTTCAAATACGTTATCGGACAACTTTGTGTCACGTGATCAGAGTCAGCCGTTTGTCAGCGTGAGGGTTTAGAATGTGCAAGGTGTTTCCCGATACATGTCGTTATGCCGCCACTCTGGTGCTTCATTTAGCAATTTTTTTCTACGAGATACAATGACTACGTCCACGGGTTAGTACGCTTTGCTTACCTCTAGTCAAGCATCGAGCGTCCTTGCATACGGGGGGAGCCGCATTCCAGAAGCCAGAATAGGCTGGAAAAGATATCGAAACAAACAAAAAAAGCGGGAAATCAGGTGGGCAAGATTGTATAGCGTGCCTTTTTCTAAAGGCGTTGTTCCCGACAATAGTTTTAAGGCCCTCACCTCGGCCAGCCTGGACTGCCTTGAACTTGGACGCATTCAGCACCAGGTAGCGATCGAGTATGAAAGCTGAAACGCAAAAGCACGCCAAAGTGTGAAAAAAAAAGAATTTAAAGCAACAGCAAGAACAACAAGCTAAAGTATGTCCTAAAGCTGTTGTAGGTTGCATGGTGAAGAAAACAGTAACAGATTTTGTCTTTAAATTATTCTTGCCTGTAAATTGTGGACGTCTACTCATTGGCTCGTTTACTAATCAGCGCTGTTAAAATCCAGAAGTATTTCAGACTGTTAGTGGTATTACCTCACTAATTCGTGCTCGCCCTTCCATTTCTTTTCTTGCACACGACATCACAAAAGCAGCTCGTCGCGTGTTTGCATTCTATGCATTTTTCTCCCTACGTTCTATGTATACTTCTCACATTCTATATCCACATGCTATGCAGACATCAGTGCACGGCATGTGCGGTCATTTAAGCTTATGAAGAATTACTCACGCTGCCTAGACTGAGTCCTCTGTGCGTTCATTGCGATGAGAAGTGCGAAGCCGACCAACGCTGCGAGCACCACCATGGAATACGCCATCAGTTCCTTGTTCGGCATGATTCGCACCTTACGGCGACCCCTGAGAGAGACAGCGCCAATAGGGGGTGTTCAAGTTTATGGTTACCTTAAACTTCGAAATCTCGAGGTACATAAATATTACCTTTGCACATAAAATATGCATCTAGGGGGACGAAAAGTAAAAAAGAAAAAATTATGGCTGTAAGCCACCCAATCAATTAAGAAGGAATAATGAGCTTTTTAGTGACGGCAGTAAGTGGACATGTGCGCATTGACACACTCGAGACAGTCATATCTTAGCGCAGTTCCACTTGGAATAATTATTCAAGCATGTTCGTGCACCGCGATATAGCTTTCAGTCCAGTCTGGGTTATTACGCATGAACAACAGTGAGGACTGGCCCAAAGCTCCGCCCTTATGTTTCAAGACAGCTGTGTGCTTTTTTTGACTCGTCGAAGGCAAAGATAACGGTTTGCCTTTTAACGCGAGAGCGTTAAAGAGCTCGCTTCACAGCAACTCCAGAGTCGTCAATGGCGGCGTCTCTAGTTGCGGGCGAACAAGCATCGTATTGTCAGCGAGTGAAAGTGCGAGGTACACTCTAAGCCGAAATTCGGCAAAGTTGGACTAACTGCAGTCGTTAAACCAATGGACGAACGGTTCGTCCAATAGGGACTAAATGTGTGACAATGCGTGTCTTGCGCAAACGCTTGGCAATGAAGGGACCAACGGGGAGGGCAACTGCGCCGCGATCGCCTCCTGCCGATGCTGCACTGCAATGCTCGGCGTGGTCGGCGATCATGAAAACAAGTTAAATAGGCTATACGCCACTGTGAAAGTGGAGCACTATGAAACGAATAGAAGATGTTATTAGAGGAAAGTAGTACAACACGCAGTCAGTGCATGCACACAGCAAGTGCCCTCGCGTTTCCACCATGCCGGCACGGGTGAGCCGAAGCCAAGTGAAAGTCTCCGCAAACACGGGCAATGCCGAGAACTCGCTTTAATGTGCTGAATAAGTTCGAACTACGGTGAACACTGACAATGCTAATAAAGGTAAGCTGTTCATCAGCGGTCGTGTACCCACACAGCGACCACAAGTTCAAAGCGATATATAGGAAAAGTAGGCTTCGTACGTCATCGGTATCAAGCGGGCTGCCGGTGTGAGTGAGTGCATTGCCGGCACAAGCGAA